TTTTTAGCGCGGACCCGACGTCCATATAATTGTAAGTCAATGCATGAAAGGTATAAAAATAATACAAACTACATGTGACAAATAATAATATTTTTTTTTATAAAAAAATACTACTACTACTTAAGAATTACATCTATGTGCCAGGTTTTGAAATCTGTTACCGGAAAGTGCGCGAAACCGGATTCATCCCCTAGTTTGCCACCCTTAGAGGTGGAATATTTTCTATAAACTTAAATGGGACCAACATTTAGATATCCTCTTTCTAATATAAAAAAAAGAATCATCAAAACAGTTCACAAATGACGGAGTATTCACGTGACATAGTTAAAAACATAATAACACAGTTGTAATTCGATTCCTCAATGCTTCCTCCTTTTTGAAGTCGGTTAATTATGTATATGTAACATTTTATAACTCTCCTATGTAAGCATAAAAAAGTTATAGCCTAATTTCATTCTCATAATCTTTTAACCTCGCTCCTGAAACACAAAGGGTGCGAAATATTGCTTAAAACCTGTTCACAAGGGGGACCCGATCGCAACCAACAAAATGATACAATAATAGCTTATGCAATTGAAAAGCACTCTTGTTATCCGGTTTCTATTTAACATTTAAAATACAAATAACTATGACCTTAGTTAATCGGCGCAAACCATTCAATATTTTAACAAGTAAACTTTTTTAACAAACGCACTATTTTTGCGCAATCAACAAATAGAGTTACCGGCAAGCGCTCGCGCATGTCGAGGCCACTTCCATACTCCACCGCCACCGCTACGTCGCAATTGCGTCAAGTTACCATTGCACTAGATTTTTTTCTTTAACAAAATGAAGCAATATTTATAGTACGCTAAAGTAAATAAATACAAATATAGTTACTACGATTGTATTATTTTTCACTGTTGCTTTCTTTGTAGAGAAATAAATAATAAGAATTGCATTGCAGGTAATACTGTGCATAGCATGCGCGTGCGCAACAGCGCAGTATGACGAGGAGCGCGCGCCTCGATACATCGCCAGCTCAACCAAGCAGGTCACCACGCCGGTACCAATCCTCAAGCAAATAAATAGGTCGGTAATATTTCCTTATCACAAACCAGGTTAGCAATCAGTAGTTCGAAATGACAGTTTCCAGAAATAACGTTTGCTTGAATTTTCAGAACCTCGAAAGTAATTTTGAGAGAGAAATGTTTTTTTCTTTTAAACCTAACTTAACCTAACCTAACCGAACCTAATCGTATCTTTATGATAAACATTCAACATATACTGAAAGAACATCGGTTTCGCTATAATTCGGTTTTCAATGTAATGAAAACTCGTACAAATGTAATTTCGGAAAAAAAATTCGAGTTTGCCATAGGTTACTCACAAACCATAATCTATTACACTTCATTGTAAAACAGGGTTCTTTCGAAGAAAAGACATGCTTCTGTAATCGCCTCGTAACTAAATAATGGCGTTAATATCGACGTCTTAGGTGTTCACGATTGCATTGGAAATGAAACTACTTTTTAATAATAATAATCATTTGTTTCAGACATAACAAATTCATAGAATGACAACAATTTTGAATTAGAATTAAATAGCATTAACATTTTTTTTTATAAAAAAAATTATTACGTACAATACAAGAAATACAATGACTTGTTTCATAACTGAGATCCAATGTTTTTGGGACGTAAATCTTGTATTATTTGATTTTTCATAGAAACCGACGTGTCGTATTTCATGTGATTAAAAAATCCAAGTAGACAAGGCTGTAGTACTTACTACTCGATAATATGTTTTGGTTTATTTCTAAAACCTTTTTAGTACAAAAATCATACAACTGAAATAATTGTTACGCCAAACCACTTTAAAAATGGAACTTATACGGAAATATATACATCAAAAGTGACTAGGGATCACGCACGTTTATGTCAATTATTGCAGATTAGGTTTCTTAAATTATTATTTTTAACAAATGATTTTTTTGGGGTCAATATCATAATATAAAAAATAAGGAAGTAAATAAATAATTTAACAAATTTATATAGATATTTTTATTTAACATTAACAAATATTTGAAAAATCAAACCTTGATACCTAGACACTTTTTATGTGTGTACATGGACATTATGCATAAATTTATTTTTCCATAGAGGACAAAATGCTTTTTGAAATAGTATAACATTTAACTGAAACACAATATTTTTAATTCGTTTTTCATAAACTTTGCATATGTAAGTTATGTCACCGTTTCACCGGACGTGCAATTCTATTTCCTGCTTTAATGCAATGCCAACACATGATCTTTACTTTCAAATTATAAACTCGGTATAAACCCTTCGCAACTCGGTCGTTTCAGGCACAACGAAGACGGATCGTATACTTATGGTTACGAGGCTGCCGACGGCTCGTTTAAAATCGAGACTAAGTCGCCAACAGGAGAGGTCAAGGGCAAATACGGTTACAAAGATGACACTGGCAAGGTAGGATTTACTTGCTATATTTATTCAGCGGATCTTACGAATTCTTCTATGCGTTTGTCATAGATCTTTTTTTAAGGGTTTTTTTTCCCGTTGCGCCATCTGTAAGAAAGCTATGAAAAGTTTTCTTCACTCTATTATAGTCCATTTCAATGGGGACGATTCCGGTGACGTTTAAAATTTGAAGTTTCTAGAGATGTAGTGATGTGAAATCGCATGCAAAAGAAATCGATTTAAATATCTTATCGAGACAATTTGTAACGAAGAGGGAACCGATTTACAGAAAATAATTTAAAAACAACTAATGAACAAAGTAATAGTGTAAATATCTATGGATCAATATTTCGTTTTACACATTAAATAATTAGGGTAATTTAACTACACAAGCAAACAAAAAGTCATCGATAAAGCATAAAATCAACAGCAGCGAAACGCAATTTGAAGAATTATTCCAAAAAGATCACGCAAATCTAAAAACAAAATAAAATCCGCTAACAAGGTATGTAAATGCCTCGTATTGACGCGAGTTATACAAACGCCGATTCGATTTATCGATTCTATGGTGTAAATCTTTATGGATAAATAATTCGTTTTACGCATCAAGCAGTTGGGGTCGTTTATTTTTATATTTATTATTTTATTTTGTATCTACATAATATACCAAAATTTTTATTTAAAATTACATCTGCAACAAATATTGTTTGATTTTGGTACATTGTAACAAATTTACTATTTATTTTTGTAACCTGGTTGACAGATTAGTTATAAATCGTATGCGTGCAACGTAAAAATTAGATGTGTCACAAAACTCATTCGCATTGAAATGTAGGTACTATAAGTACCGTTACATCTATCAGAAGTTGGCAAGAGATGTCGCTTTATAAATTATAATATTGAATGTAACGAATTTCATGATGTTTTTGCTACTATGATATTCGTATATTTTTTTGTGAAAATACACCACTAGTTTATTGTTGTTATTAATAACTGCCTCAGTGGCTGAACGCTTACCATGCTGGACTGCCACGCAGAGGTGCTGGGGTTCGATACCCGGGCCGGGAGAAATATTTGCATGGCCTACATTGATTACTCTCGTGAGTTTGGTTGTAATTTATAGTTGTATATGTATGTGTCCATGGCACCCGCGAGCTTGGGTTTCCCTAGTGCGGGGCTATTAGTGTGTGCGTCATTGTTATTATTATTAATACAAAGATTTTAAAGAAATTTTTGCAATCCGGCTGGACTCGAACCAGTGACTTTTTCGCCAAAAAGGGGCTATCGCTCTCCCAACTGAACGAGTCAGCAGATTTTAAACTTCTTTCAATTCAGGTTTTAACGACGTTTTTGCGCTAACTGAAATCTATGAAACATAATTTACTTCTTAAAAAAATGTATCATTATTATTTTTATGACACCCTAATAGAAGTCAGTTTTCAATATTACATCAAGTGGGAATCAAATCAAAATTAAAATTATTTGACACACCATTGACTTGACCGAGCTATTTACACAAACAGACAAAATCACGAGACATATACCTGCCCGAATATATCTACAAGCGCAGCTAGACTACCGCTGACGACTTACGCAATGTACGGAAAAACGATATATTCTATGTTAGTTTGAATTAAAGCATATGTTGTATAATTTTATTTGTAATAAATAATGAAAAATTAAACACAACCGCACATGAATAAAACGATATAAAAAATTAAATTCCAAAATATGCTCTAGCAACACATAAAAAAAATTATATTGTTCCCACCGTTAAGTTGTCCTAATTTATTGACGGCTACACGGTGTAGCATAGCCTACGCCGTAGCTACACATGTTACATGTATGTAATTAAAATACTACGCACGTATTAAATGAATTTTTAAATCTTAACCAACATTTGTTAGACATCAATTAATTAATACTACACCATATTCACACGATTAAAATGGTGTTTATATGTAAACTCTGTACATGTAATTATGTTTCTTGAATGCCAGGTTGTTTCACCACCATGATGTTCAATTATTTTTTGTGAAATTACTACACTATTTTGTAATAATTATTAATACAAAGATCGGATATTAAGAAAAATTCCTTCGATCCAGCTGGATTTGAACCAGCGTCTTCTAGTGGATGAACCAGTGGACCTTACGAATTTTTCTATGTGCTTGTTGCAGATTTTTGTTTTGGTTTTTTTTAACGACTTTTTCGCCGTAGCGCCATCTGTGAGAAATCTATTTCTTACTCTGTAATTTTCTGAGGTAGTGCATAGTAAAAACATCGCTTTTACAAATTTGTGCCGATGACGACCCCAACATCCGCCACATATCGCGTTCATATTTCTTTCCTAGACACTATACGTCATCTTTCACACCACCGCGCTATCTTAACACACTTATTTATTTATTTATTCAAGTAAATCCGCACCCCTAATGTAATAAAAATTTATGAATGAATGCCAATTACAGATTTTGTAGACAAGACTCATATGGCAATATATGAATAATATGTTCATCAAAACAACTGCAGGCAGTTTTGCAGATGGAGGTCAAATGCGCAGTATTTTTTAACAAAAAAGAAAAAGCCACTGTGTGATCGCTTGATCGCTTTTTTTCGTACAGTCAATTTTTTCCACACTCTCTATAAATAGGTAAGGTGGCAGTACTTCCCTGGACGAACTCTTTCACAAGCTCTACTGCTACTAAATGTTGGTTGTTCAAAACTTGTCAGAGTGTACTTTATAGATGCTTTGGTGTTATGGTATACCTCAATACCGTATTCCCATTATGCAACTTAATACACCAATGATAAATAATGGTCACAGTGTCCTATATTTACTCCAGTTGCGAGTGGTAGAGTACGGCGCAAACAAGTTCGGCTTCCAGCCTGCCGGAGAGGGCATCACTGTGGCTCCTCCTACCCTAGTCGACGAGACCACAAGAGACAGACCAGCCAAGGCACAGGTACTAATAAAATCATCAGAAACCTGCATTGTCAATCTTTGTTTAAATTTGAATGTCACAGTGTTCGACCACCATGATATTCAATTGTTTTTGTGAAATTACTCCATTAGTTTGTAATAATTATTAATACAAAGATGTGATCCGTCTGGATATGAACTTTTTCTTACTAAACATTCAATGTACGTATCTTGGACATTTAAGTAATAGTAGCTTACAGCTCTCTAACGTCTGGTCACATCGAACTGCCGCTTTGGCCGAACGGTTACCACGCCGGACTGCCACGCAGAGGTCCCAGGTTCGATTCCCGGGCCGGGAGAAATATTTGTATGGCCTACATTTATTTCTCTCGTGAGTTTGGGTGTAATTTGTGGTTCTCTATGTGTGTGTCTATGGCACCCGCAACACAGGGTTTCCCTAGTGCGGGGCTATGTTGAGTGTGTGCGTTGTTATTATGCTATTGCTATATCAACGTTACAGCAAGGCGGTCGATCTGAATATCGCGCACAGCCCGTACAACAAGCGGTAGACTATGACTACGAGGAACCAGCACCAGCGCCGCCACCGCGCCCCGCGCCCCGCCCGCAGCAGTATCGACCCTCGCCGCAGCAGTATCGTCCAGCGCCCCAGTCGCAGTACCAGCAGCCCATTCAAACTGGTCCTGTACCGCGTAAGGTAGATAACTTGAATCTCAAAAAACTTCAAACCTAATTTTAAGCAAGTTGAGGTTTGGGAGGAAATAGCAGAATCCTTTAAAACCAAGAACGCTGTATTCCGAATTATTATTATCAACATATTGTACGTCCTACTGCTGGGTACAGGTCATATTTAAGGTTTAGGCTCTACTTAGGGTCCAGAACGCTCCCACGATGCAGGTTGATGAGTTCACGAATTTTCTAAAGTCTGTGAAGGGCTTTCGACATGCAGCTTACAACACGATATTTTGTTTCTTTCCAAGAAATTAAAGTTATATGTACTGGCAACGGCGCATCAGACTACACATTTTTGTTCGAAAATCGCCTCCATTGCAACGGATTAAGGTATGTCAATGTGTAGCTTGATGTGTTGGCGTGTGTACATGCCGCTTCTGGGACTCGAACAGTTAATTTTCAGTTGAGAAGCAACCATTCTCCCACTGGGTTACCGCCGCTCACCTCTTACGAATAGCCCGGTTAAATGTAAATTATTTAATACTTTTTTTGCATTATATGAATGCCTTAGTCTCAATGTCCACCAAATTAAAAATACCTTTATCATACAATAGTAACATATTTTTACCGAGGACACCGTTCCGTTAGTTACTATTCATGGATGATATTTAATACAAAGGTCAAACACTCATAAAAAATTCCTTCGATCCGGCCGGATTCGAACCGACGTCCTCTAGCATAGCGTCCAGACGCTATACCAACTAAGCCACGGAACGAACCAGCGGACCTCACGAATTTCTCTATGTGCTTGCGTCGTATCTTTGTGTTTGGTTTTTCGACGACTTTTTAGCCGTAGCGCCATCTATGAGAAATATATGATATTTCGTCACGTTTATATTCATGGATGATTAAATTATTTCAAAAAACAAACTTTGACCGATCTACGCGATGATGTCTTATATTTGTTCGCTCAATACATTATATTAAACGAACTTGTGGTTTTGATTTGCAGCCAGCGTTCTTTGCGGGCGCGGCTCCAGCTCCTGTTGAACAGAATAACGGTGCATTCTTCAGCCCGGCGCCTGAGCCCGCGCCGCGTCCGCGCCCCAAACAAGACTTCCGTCCCGCACCGCAATTCCAGGACTTCGTACAGCAACCCAGGTTTATAGCGCTTTTTAATACTTACCCAATTTATATGAAATTTACTTGAAGTTAGTAAAACATTGGACTTACGTTTTAGTAAAAGCGCAGCGATAGAAGCTTTCTTGGCATCCACTCGAATAGCATAATATCGTAATCTCGCATACCTTTAGATTCATATTACGCTTAAACGCCATTAAACATCTGAGAAAAAAATATCTGAGAATAATGTCTGTATTATTAATTCATCTGTGCAAAAGTGACAAAATCTCATTACGCGGTACAAAAAACTTAACCGTAACTTGTACCGGTAACACTGTTGTTAATAATAAGTCATCACGACTTGAATTCAATTTGACTCTGATTACTATAGTCACATTATCTAATAAATGGTAGACAATACAAACTTAGAATTCAAAATCACTTTAGTCGTCAGTTGTTTGCTTCCTACTGCATGTAATTACTACATATAAAAATAAGTTTAGTCTCATGGAATGTTTTTTATAAAGCTATAATTCGTAATCGTGGTATAATAAAGACAAATGTAACACAAAAAAGTCTTAAAAACTACTTGAACAAATTATGTACATATTAAGTCTGTCCTATTTGTTCCTAGTGTCTTGAAAATCTCTTTTTTTATAATACCAAATAACGGAATGAACATGTCGTGCGCATAGTGGTGCGCGACTCGCCTATCCATAACAATTGTAGTGCCATTCAGAGCTTTTAGTCTCAAAGACCTTAGGGGCACTGCCACTGCGCCCGTCACCCTGACACGTAAGTCGACAAGTCCCATGTGTTACTAATATAATCTCTCCTGAAAATTTATCATTTGACAGATGAAGCTTTATTACACGAAGGGTATGATATTACAAACGGAATTACCCGGAAGTTTGCAACAAGCTTGAAAACTATAAATTTTATAGGTCGTGATGAAGCTAACATTTTAAATTGTGATCTGATATTAATAACTTTAAAAGTGACCATGTTAAGTTTATGGAAAAAGTGTTCAATTGAAAAAGAAAAAAAAATAATAATAACAACGCACACATTCATCGCTCCGCACTAGGGAAACTCTGTATCGCGGGTGCCATGGACACACATATAGACAACTGCAAATTACACCCAAACTCACGAGAGAAATAATTGTAGGCCATACCAATATTTCTTCCGGACAGGGACTCGAACCCGGGACCTCTGCGTGGCAGTCGAGTATAATAATAGTTCGGACACGGAGGCAATAAGAAATTTTCCTTGCGCAAATGTGCTGAAACATAAGAATGCTTCTCCATACTGCTACGCTTTGGTAGGCTTAGTTAAGTAAGACTAAAAGTATGGCTATAGCAAAACCAGTTCAAAAGAGTTCAGGATCCTAGCGCTGTTGGTTCCCTGAGCGAATAAGTTACACTAAGTGATTTTCATTACTAAGCTGCCTTCGTAATTGAAAGTTAATTATTTAACGATGATACCTAGATGATGTAGAAGAATTTTATTAAATAAAGAAATATATTTATTTTTACAGGTACACAAACGCAGAGTTCGTAGCTCCTCAGCAGTTCCCCCAGCCTCAGCCGCGTCACCAGCAGTCCTTTTCGATGCTCGACCAATTACTTAAAGAATACGCACTGCCACAGGGTGGTGCTACGCCCACGCATGACATCACTTTTGGCTCTTACTAGAACCTACTGAAATGGAATGCATACTATTACGCCTATTTATTGTGGAGAAATATACATAGATAAAAGAATTACAGAAGTTCATCTGATGTCTTTAGTCTATGCGTACCCGTTTACTGTAAACAGACGTGATGATATGTAAAATCTAGTAATAGATATCTAGACTCTACCATCCTGCCTATATTGTACCACTGTACCACAGAACACTACAAAATTGGAATTTTGGTGAAACCATCTACTTTTCAATAAAAAAAAGATTTGTTCAATGAATGATTCTTTAGACTATTTTTTGAACATTTAAAGCATTCTATCTCTTAGTCTCTAGTATGAAAGATAAACACAGCTGTACTCTACCCTTGAACTTGTAAACAAATCACCATAGAAAGTAAAATCGGTAGGTAAGAGGGTCCTAGCATTTAAATAAAATTATTACGCAACTTGTACATATGTAGAATATTTTTGATTAATTAAAGTTTTTAGGTAATTGTCATTTTGTTTTTTATTAACAACAAGATTCCACTACAAAATATTATCTATTTAACCCTACCTAGGTTAGATTTCAAAATACAATGAAACTGGTATACATCTATAGAGTTCTTAGGTTTTCGCGATTGTTACACATAGGAAATGAAACCATTTCATTATAGAAATCATAGAGTCAACCGTGATTATGGTACTTGTAAAGGGTCCGAAACCATGGTTTCTTTGAAAACTCAAAAATACGCGATTTAAATCCGGAAAAATAGTTTAGTTTCCTAGGTATACATCTCTTATAGAGAGCCTATGTACATTTTTTCACATCCAATTACAGTGGATTCTAATTTCTTTACAACATAATTATTATTTCTTAACGTATTTTCTTATAACTTTGGGTGTTCAGAATGTGGAAAAGTCCTTATTTAATAATAGACACCTATAATCAAAATTTCATTATGAAATATTAAGATACGAGTATTGTCTTCAGCTTCACTAGTTTCAGCTGTGTGATGACACGTCAGTCAAGACTTATTCTATTATATATACATATTTTAAAAAGGTCCATATTTTTCTATTACAGGACCTCAAGTACTTAGCCATAAGTCTTACTTAAATAGATTGGCTTTTGCAATCAAATTGTTAAAGTTTGTAATAAAAAATCTATCGCATGAATAATAATAATAACGCGCACACATTCACGTTACTTGTTCCGTTGTACTGTAGGCGATATTCGAACAAAAGTGTACAGCTGATATCCTGTTGACTGTACATACATTCAAATGATATTTAATAAATATACATATGCCATCAATTGCTGTACTATGAGTACTAGAGCAATGGAATTTACTCTGGGGCACTTCCCAGATCATACAGACCAGAACCAATTACATTATCAAATTGGTCCTACCGGAAATCGAACCTGGGACCTCCTCATCCAATGCCCACAGTGCAAACTGTTGGGCCACTGATGTCGTAAAGATATAATTAATATGGTTAATAAGGCGTGTGTAATATAGGTAGTTAATTATAAAGTAGGTAAGATCTATTTTAACTGTCTCCGTGGCCAAACGGTTAACATGCTGCTCTACTGCGCAGAGGTCCCGGGCTCGATTACTGGACCGGGAGAAATATTAATATGACCTACATTTATTTATCTACCAAGTTTGGGTGTAATATGTGTGTGTCAATGGGATCCGCGATACAGTCGATTCCGATTCACTTGTGAAGGGGGTATGAGTGTGTTAGTTATTAAAAATAATAATAATAATAACTATTGTGCCCCACTGCTTGGCAAAGGTCTCCCCCAAAATCCTCCACTAATCCCTGTCTTTCACTGTTTCTCACCATTCCTTCTCAAACCCATTAAGTTCGTTCCGCCAACGCTTCCATCCTCGGGCACCCAAGGTCGTCACGACGTTCGCCCCCTTCTCAGTTTGTATCCGACTAACGTCGCTAACGTAATAATAACAATATGCAATTAAATAATTCAAATGGTACTAACGCTTATTTGGTTTCATTCAACAAAGTGGTTAATTAATACTGAAAGTGAGAGGAATTTTCAGATCAATCAAAGTAGTAACACAACAACATTAAGGTCAACGCAAGACAATTCCAAACATCCAACAATGTTCACCTATTGTATGACGCAACGGTGGGAACACACGGCAGTTGTCTTCTGGGAGGTCCCACGGCCTGATGATAAAAATGTAACAATGCAGTGCGTTATTAGCACCTTGCGTAACACACACGCAGGTGCTTGTAACATTAGTACGTTGTATGCATTCTAAAGAACGTAGGTTCCCTGGGAAAAATCTAGAAACATCCGAAACTGAGAGCAGGATCTCAATATAATTTTCATCAATTACCTGGTCTCAAACAAGGGAATACCCAGTAATATGAATAACAGAGCACTAAAACCAACTACTTATTTGTGGCTTATGCGGTTACTATTTGCTTGCAGTATACCTTAAAAACAATTTATAACTTTTTTTAGTAAATATCGAGTAATTAAAATTTTGTGGTTGGTTTTTCTTATGAAACTAAATTACTGGAGGAACAAATCGCCCACCTTGTGGTATGTGACACGCCTCATAAAGTTGCAGTACTATTCAGTACTCTAAATCACAGAGATCTGCGGGCCACTGCCACTGCTCCCGTCACCCTGAGACATAAGTTGATAAGTCCATGTGCCTGTAATTTCACCAACACACATACTGCTTAACGGCAGAAGTAGGTAAGGTGGCAGTACTTCCCTTGATGAACTCTCACAAGGAGATCTACTGCTACTAAAAAAGATTGTTACACATAGGAAATGAAACAATTTTCTCGTACCTAAATTACATATATTTCGGGCCTTTACAGGTTCCATTGTCACGGCTGACCACTTGCCCGATTTAGACCCGAAAATATAGTTTCATTTCCTATGTGTAAGAATCGCGAAAACCTTAGAACTCGATACAATTTAGACATAAAATTCATTTTCACATTAGAAGATGTCGTACTTCGGCCATGTCATGAGAAACAATAAGTGCAAATGACTCTAGCTTATCATCCAGGACAAAATCGCTGGAAAACGAAGTGTTGGTAGAAGGTAGCAATCCTGGTTGAAAAATTTGAGGGAATGGTTCGGCTGCAGTACCAAGTCGCTGTTTAGAGCGGCAACTTCTAAAGTCTGGATTGTCATGATGTTGTCCAACCTCCGATAGGAGCGGAACCCCAAGAAAAAGAAGTTCAAAAAATTCTCAATTTTGCTGTGAATCGGACACCGAGCTTTTCATTGGTTAAAATAATCACATGGCAGAGACAATCCCATATCTTTCTACATAAGTTTTGCTTATATTGCCCCTCCCTATCAACCTCTTGGTTATGCGGGAAGGGTACTATGACGCACGATATGATGCACGGGGACCATCTAAGTCAGGTCTTAACCTCGGAGCAGCACGTATGCACGCACTTCATCCGGTTCTCTGTAAGGCTAGTGCCTTAGGTTAGCCGCCCGAGGTGCACGTACAATACCCTCCCTATTTTCCAGATAGGTACCGGAGCTGTAGGCACGCTCGCTTCCTGTCGCGCTCCGCACGACTTACCACCGCTGAGCCGCCGACCTACTCTTTCCGGGTTAGTGCCGGAGATGCCAAGTGGCAGTGTCCTGCGACAATGTCCGGACATAGCCACCGACTTAAAGGGCAACTCACGTGCTCCGCGCGTCTCCTCGCCTCAGGCCCTCAACTAGACCGCTACTAAGACCCGCTAGGTTGCGCGTGGGACGAACGCCCCGGTCACCATCTACCGGGGCAGATGAACGTGTTTGTCCCTGCAGCTAACCACAAACCCCGCCGAGTCCATACCCAAGTCCGGGGCTTGGTCCGGATGCCCGCCGTACCCTGGTCTTGCCTGGTCTCTCCGGAAAACCCTATCTCACGGGTCGGTAGACAGGGACACAAAGTTGAGACAGTCTACAGACACGTCTGAGGTTTTTAAATGATCCTTGTAAAAGAGTTCGTCCAGGGAAGTACTGCCGCCTTACCTATTTTCGCCGCCAGGCAGGAATGTGAGCATTACTGCGTTTCGGTTTTGAAGGGTAAGGGTGCTGGTGAAATTCATGGCACATGGAACTTGTCAACTTATGTCTCAAAGTGACGGGCGCAGTGGCAGTGCCCCACGGATCTTGGCGATTTGGAGCTCTAAGGGGCACTGCAATTTTGGGCAGGCGTGTCGCTTATAACCACCACACGACTTGTTCGTCCCGTCATTTTATATCATAAAAAAACCATCACACTCCCACTGTGATAGGTAGAGATCATGGAAATCCACCTGCTACGCTTCTGATAATTCTTTGCCTCCTGCACTACCATCAAACTCTTTATATTATATGCCTGTTTATTCTTGACATTTTAACCTAACCTTTTTGAAGGACACCCCAATCTGATTGAGTTATACGCCGAGGTCAACTGATAGCTGTTGAAAATAACAGTTATTTTATATACAGTATTTAATAGTTATTGCAATACTGATAAATATGTTTTAAATTGTTCTAATTACCATTAATAATAAAATTAAATTGAATAAAATTTAGATTGTTATAATAAAATAATTTGTAAACCATATGTAGCGTAAATTGGAATGTTCTTTGAAAATTTTAAAGGTGTGGGATTTAATTAACAAGTTTTGTAAAAAATAGGGTGATTTGCATTAATATTAGACATATCTTGTTGATGATGACTTTACCATCTCAGTCGCCCGTGACCGTGTGACCTGGAAAGGGCCCGAAACGTTGGTTTATTTGATAAAACATATACACGTAAGCTAGATCCGAAAAAGTTTAATTTCCTTGTAGTTATTAAGTTAGTTGGTTTTAAAAGTGTAATATTTGTTTATTTAATTAATTTATCACCCGTGCGAAATCACGAGCACAAAAAATGGAACTTGATGTCTGTAAAAGAACATAAATTTTTCTAGTATATTTTTCTATGAATAAAGACGCGCAAAATATGTATAAACATGCGTTACAAAGTATTTTCTTGACAAAAGAGCAAAAAATCGACACCATGAAGGCTGGTTATTATGAGTCGCTGTTATACAAATCTAACACTATAAAGACAGAGGGACCTTGAACAGAGCTTGGCGCTGCCTAATGTATTATATCTTAGCGAAATTTGAATTTGGCTATTTTACGTCAACATACAAGTTTAAACTAAAATTTTTAGGCCGACAGTGTTTAAGTAACTCAGTTTCCACCAAAATGATGGTCAATTGCAATGTAATAATTTTATTTCTTATAAATTTTTTGCTCTATATATATATATCGGTTTTTATGTATGTTTTTATATTCATGTATGTATATGTATATTCGTCATAACTGTATAAGAGTTCCCTTTTACTTCCTTTTGAAATTAAAATTAATTACTAATTATTCTCAACAGTTTATTGTCACAAATTTTTACATTGACCCGGCTGGAGAATGGACCCGGAACGTCAGAGATGGCGACGCCATGAAAACAGTGCAAGCCAATCGACCACGGAGGTCGTCATTAAGTAATTCATCATCATCATTATCATCCCACTGTTGAGCACGGGTCTCATCCAAAGCGAGAGTTTAGTCGATAATCTGTCACGTTGCTGTCTTATTAAGGTTTTGCGACTATACCTGAACCTTCTTCGAGGAGCAGGTTGCATAACAATGTTTTCCTTTACGAGAGATATTGCTGTTAAAAACCTAAAAAAATAAAAAGACATAGTTCCTTCTCCCACTGTAATTGGATAAGTTATTATATTTATTCAAGTAAACACTTGTAAAATAGGATTCCAGGAAACTATTAAGAGTCTATGCTACCTCAGCTCGAATTAAGAATTTCGAGGTAAGTTTGGGTTTTGTTTTTGGCGAGAAAATTTTCAAGAAATCGCGTTTTCACGCCGTGTATACTCTTAATTTTACTATAAATGTTTTCCAAAGTGTATTCAACACTTTCGCTATTATGAGGAATCAACCAAAGGCATTTGAGGTAGTACCTACAGACAGTAGTTAAATTTAATTTTTTTGTCAGATACATAAATGTAGTCGACTAAAATAACTGCATTAGAGTTTCAACTGTTTCAAGGAAACTGACTATTGTTACCCGATGAGAACATTTGGAACGTTCGAGGCAATCTGTTTTTTGTTTATGAGTTTAATTACAACATTATTATCAACTTACCTATTTTTAAAACTTTACTTAAAATCAAAATAAATAAGGTCGTTAAAATCACAACAGGCGATGTATGTATAACGCTGCTAAAATAAGATTCCTGTTGATGTAAAAAAGCCTTTTCCGAGTTCTAGGTTTTCGCAATTGTTACACATAGGAAATGAAACTATTTTTAACCGACATCAAAAAAGGAGGAGGATTCAATTCAAATAAAATGTTACGCGATAACTCCTGCATTTATGAACCGATTTGGATTATTGTTTGATTATTCGGGAAGAGGGTACCTCAGTACTAGTCGCGCTTAAATTTGAAGAAAATATTTCTCCTCTAAGGGTGGACTAGGGAATGAATCAGATTTCGCGCACTTTCCGGTTACCGATGTAAATAAAACTTGGCTAATAGATATAATTCCATGAATTGCTGAGGTCGATTTTCTTATAAAAAAGTTATAATTATATTTTAATAAATTAAATAAATTTTTTTACGTTAGTTTCAAGAATCAAATACACATGACTTAGATCCGTAAAAATAGTTTCATTTTCTTTTACAAGGTTTACAAATATATTGAAACAAAAACTTTATATTTTACTATACAGCTTCTGCTTACTTACATGACAAAAACCCATTTCAGTAACCCGTTTCGCTCTTTCAGATTGTTTTTATCTACATCATTTGAAATAACTAATGTGAACAAATGTCATTTATGAGCAATGAAGAGCAAGTTTAATCAGTAAATCAAGTGTGCTTACGAAATAAAGTTATTTTTAATATTTTTTTTTAGTGTGTCGTCAAACCCTTGGATAGTTTACATACTATAAAGCAGACTTTCTTAACCTGTGGTCCATCCTCCGTGTAATGAACGTGAGGGGTCCATGACCAGCCTACCTGATATAATGTATTAATATAAAAATTCGTATATAATATGTTGTCAGTAAATAGGTACCGCGCACATGACCTTTTTGAATTTTTGCACCCTTTGACTGCCACCATTATTAGAGCGAGCGAGACGTGTATCTATGCAACCCGTGAGCCTTTGTTCTTCATCATCTTTTCGGAAAGGTTGCTGTAAAGGCTATACCTATCGAGTATTGGATATAGGTTCCACAATAAAAAAGAGGATTCGCCATAATCGTAAGTTGCCGGGAAGGTCAGCGATCTCACAACTTTTAATTCCAAAATTTCTACAACATAAATTATCTTTTTTAATTAGCTATAACTCAATACTATATGACCCAATTAGCCTTATAAACATCAGAATTATGTTCAAATGACCGATAAATATGCTCAAGTTCGTTAAGAAATTGTAAAAACATCCAAAAATATATAACACATGCAACATAAAACCACTATTTCATAATAAACATACAATCGAAATAAATTTCGATCGATGCATATTTTATCGATCGATCCGAATAAATACATACCATAGTTATTAACACCAATTTATCTTTGCGGGAAAGAATTTGTTGTTTACTTTGACTTTTTTTTTTTCATTAATATCTACGCAAGATTGACCACAGTCTCACCTGACATAAAATGGTGTTGTCCGCTTATATCTAAAAAAATATAAAACAATTGTCAACATAAATGTAGGCAGCAGTAGCGATAACTATGGAGGCATCTTTTTCATTTGTCACATTATCTTGTAATTTTTTTCCATTGAGGTGTAACAGACCACCTGGTACTCAAATAAGGCAAAATTTTTGATCACTCAGCCGGTAGCTACAGTTTCTAAATAAAGTGCAGCTCGTTCTAAAAAATCTGTTTTAGATTCCAAAGACGAATTTTGAATTTACAGTCGGCCGGGGTCAGGTACTCAGGTTTAAGAACCACCAAACGATACGTTCCGGTATTCTTTTTATTAATTATTATATACACAGCCCTAGAATACTGTTAAAATACAAATGGGTCACCGTTATGACCTATTTTTGGCGACTGCGTACTACATACTTGTACGCACATTGCTGGTCGGTTGACAGCCTGATGGAGGCGGACAAATAGACGGTGGGTTCATGTTCTTCTGTTTAGCTGACAATGGCTTGTTAAGGACTACTTGACCAGACTTGTCTTTGGCCAGATCAGTGTAATAAAATAATTAAATTAGTGTCAGTCGTGATTATAATATGGAACCTATAAAGAGCACGAAACTCTGGTTTATTTGAAAAAACAAATATACGCTACGTAGATCACAAAAAAATAGTTTCATTTCCTATTTGTAATAATCAGTGAACTTCTACTTCAGATAAAAGCACTTTTACCGGCAGCAAAAATAAGTTTGTATTACTTAAAGTCTAGTGGGCGTGCGGCCATGATATATCATCCGAAACAATAGAGGAATTTGAATTCAAAATCCATTATGATTTAAATATTTGTCATTGTCACGGAATGTTTGTATAAGCAACGATTGTAAATTGACGTTTCGCCATGTTTTGAGAGCGACCGGACATGAAAGACAATTACGAATATGTTTTTTGTAAATATTACAATTGTGCATAGTGGGATTCCATCATTCCATTATATTTGCGTAACTTACTGAACAGTTGTAGAAGTAAACAGTTGTAAAGTCCTCGAAATAAATCTCTAATGTGGAGGAATATCTTTAAAGAACAATTAATTTTGTAAAATTTGTATTTTGTTACTTGGCTGTTGTATTTGTATTGTTGGCATATTTAAATTGGACGAAATCAAACATCGCCAAAGTATCCAAATAAAAAATATTTTATACAAATCCCTTACAAAAATATTTACATTACTGAGTATTCTACGGGCAAAGCATCACTTAAAATATATTAAAACCTGTGTCTTACTGTCTTTGCATCTGTCTTTTCGCCTCATCTGCCGAACCTTCTTCTCCGAGAATTTGCACGTTCCGCACTTGTTTTCGTGGCGGTGCAGCAGTTGTCATTTCAGTCATAGGAGCTGGTGATGGCATAAAATCAGGACTTATCGCCAACATCAACATTTTCAGCAACAGAGCCTCTCGTATCTCTGCTGGAAGATACTCAGGAGTTTCTTCCACTCGATTAGAAGATGCCACAGATGCATCATAAGGCCTTGTGTACAACCGTCTTCTAGGAACAAATCGCTGACTTTCGTACTGCTGGTTCTCATAATTTCCGACTTGGTTCTGGTATATGTCCGACTGTCTGTACTGTTGATCGTATCTATAGTCATACCTTTCTTCTTCTGGATACTGTCTATTCTGGTATCTATTGTATTCGTATTGAGGCTCAGCTCTGAATAAGGGCAAAGGCTGATATGGGGGTCCAGGAGCAACAATCTGGTCCATCAAGGCTTGTAAACGATTCTGCCGAAGGATCAAAATCTGGAGCAATCTTTTCAAGTCTCTTGTACTAACAGGAGCTGAAATTGCATTCACGTCTTCGATCGGCTCGTATCTCGGTTGCTGATGAAGGACCACTGGAGGTGGTGTTGGTCTGTAAGGGTTAATATACCTTTGATAACCTTGGATAGGCACTCCTCTTTCATCCACAGGAATGGGTATGATTCGCGTCACTTGCCGCCCATCGTATGGCTGTCCTGTGGCAACTTCAGAAGCACTAACTTTTTGTGTTTGTTGAGAATCTTTTACATATTGTGGCTCCAGTACTTTGTGCTGGAGCTCATATTGGAGAAAGGGCCGCTGGTTTCCAATGGGTATTGCTGCTCCTGGATTATCTTTTAAGTACTCATTTGTTCGGAAGTGAACAGACGATGGTCTTCTATAAAGCAGTTGTTGGTAAACTCTTTCATCAGGAACTCTACCAGCTGGTATATGAATTACTGGCACTGGATTCGAGGTTACAACGTTCTCCTGATCAAATACACGTCCAGTACTGGCTTCAACGGTGGTCTCCTCATCATGCACAGGCTGTTCTTGATATTGCTGATGTATCTTCTGCCTTGCAGCTACTAAAGAATGAATGGGCACTAACCTTGGTCGAGGAGTTGTTGTTGTGAACAAAGGTCTCACAGTACCAAGAGACAAGTGGCTGCCGTAAACATCAGTAGAATCGTCTCCAGCCGACTGCCGCAAATTGATCATGTGAGGATTTGGGCTGGTATTGGTCAGCTCACGACGTATGGTGTTCGCCTTACTTGGTGTAACTGCGTGTTCCTTTTCAGTCACATGTTCATACACAGGCTTTACAGTATATGGTATCTTAGTGGTTGTTTGTTTGGGCACTAGATCATCTTTGACACTAGGCATAGGTTTCAACATTTGAGTTCGCGTCTTCGGTATCCCACCTTCATTCTCTTTAGGTTTGTAAAGATTCAAAATATTGCTAGTCGATTCCTCAGTTTGTTGTTTTGTAGTGGTCGTTTCCATTATGGTCGCTGGTCGTGTCGAAGTCGTCTGTCGTCGCCGCGGTATCGGCTGTACAACTGTTCCTCTGGTCGTGCTATAACCTCCCCGACTGGGATATACGACTGTTGCAAGCGGTCTCCTAGTAGTCGACACTGTTTTGTTCACTCTCACAACCATCATAGGAGTACTAGAAGTAGTACTCGTTGTCACTGGCACAGGCGTGCTATCACTCGATGAAGAATACGTCACTCGTTTTATTTCACCATCCTTATCAATGTACCCAAAAGTCCCTTTCACGTTACCTAATACGTCCCTGCTTTCGATCTTAAAAGTCCCATCCCCGGCTTCATAGCCAATAGTATAAGAACCATCTTCGTTTAGACGACGAATTTGTTTAACTATATCAACTTTGGAAGGATCACCCGTTTCACTTGCTTTAAGTATTTCTTTGGTTGTAGTAGTTTCTGCTTCTGGCAACTCTGTGGTGACATCTTTGGTAGCGTTGGTCGCGATCACCACACTATCGAGGGTTGGGGTGGAATCGGGGGATGCAGGGGTGGCGGATGCGGAGGCGGCGGCGAGGCCCGCGAGCAGCACTAAGAGGATCATGTCTAGGCGCGCGGCATGACGGCGCTACGCGGCGCCCGCGTATCTCGCTCCCTATATAAAATATCGCCCCACTCACTGCCGCGCGCGTCCTCGGCGTGCGAACGTCTTGCGCAAACTTCGCCATTGTTGTCATTTCATTATCTGAAACGGAAAATCTTTTTTCTTTACATCTACTTATGCCGTAAGATCCCAATTGTTTAATTGTCCGAGCCGTTTTGTAAATATATGAGCATGTGGACATTTTTTTTAGATGTTTTCAGTTTTAACGCCATACTTCGGTATTAAGGTCGATCTTGGTGAAACATGACTATTGTTTAATTAGTCGATTGTTTCTAAAATATTGTTGGTTAATTAAAGAAGGGTGGCGCGTTTGTTGGTCTGTTCCCACGGCGCTCTCAATGTCACGATAATTGCGTACTGGTTTTTGGGTCGGGTACTAAACTCTTGATGGAATAGCCATTGCGGTTGTGGGGTTCTTAATTTTGCAACTAATATTCCTCTAAAGGTTTTCGTCTTCTTGCTAATAAGCCGGTCCCTCTCCGTAACTACGGTTAGCTGATTGTTTTTACCTAATACGTCTGTCCAGAATTAGTTACACGCCTTCCCATAGTTGTGTTTTGCGGCATAAGCTACAGGGTTATGGTGGTGAATGCCGTTATTATATAGTCGTGGGAAGCTAGGTGTATAATTCTTAGTCATTACTTACTCCTGTACATAAATAAGTGTGTCATTGTGATTGGACAAAGGCTGTATTGTTACAATTGTCTAGAAGTATGCCCATATTCAGTTAATGTACTTTTAATGCTCGGCCAATTTTGCAAATATATACTTTTAGTTCCAAATAAATAAGGTCGAATGTGTGTGCTCTGTATCTTCAGTCAAGGGCAGGTTCTTTGTCCTCTAAAGCACTGCACTACAAACCACTTACATACGTATTAAATATACATCTATGTATAAATATTAACATAAAAGCAAACAACAAATGTATTCAATTTCGTGTCTCTAAAATTATCGTTCATCAAACGGACCCTCATCATTTCTCATTTAGTCTCATCATGTCCCTACATTGATAGTTCTCGCTAAAATGTGATTATTTTGTATGAAACTCAAGTTTTTATTTCATAGGTAAGTAAACTACAATTGTTCATATTAAATTTTACTGCTTATTACTAAGGTAGATTCCCCTGAGAAGAATGACTAAGGAGGGGTTGCTCCTTGTAAATAAACCTTTGTACACATTTCTCATTTACAATATTTATTTCAAACATCATACATCACGATAACCTGCAAGAGCTAAGCAGTCACTATCGCGAATTTCTATTACCCTAGTACATAAAAGCTTTAGGTATACCGTTTGATATAAAATTCATGCTCCACCATAGTTTTAAACCTCGTAAATGGCAAATTTACATTACAAGAACAGCTAGTTTATTTCTATTCCTTGTATTAATGCTATTCTGTCACTTTTTTTCATTAAAAAAATTACTATTCTTCTTAACATAAATAAAATTTTCATAAATGTA